TGACTGTTATCAACGACCATAACTTTTGGGACTTTCTGTTTTTTTTTTTTTTTTCAAATTTTTCCCCCCAGTTTACGTTTATTTTTGTATATGACTGATAGTAAATGATGGAAATATAAACAAGTATTGATAAAGATAATGTTGTGATATTGATATTTTTCTTAGAAGATTTAATTTCTTTTTTGTTTTTTAGTAATCCTATAATTCTGGAAAGGACAGTTAGAGAATATGGGTGTTTCCATTATTTAAGGAGATTTTGGATAAAAGGTATTATTTTTAGATTTGATGTTAGTTATGAACCATAACTTGTAAGGGTACTGCTTGTTTATATAAAGCAGACATCATAATGCTGAAGTGTGTTTTTGTCGTGTGTGGTGGCATATGTTTATTTTCACGTGTTTTGAGTGTGAGGTATTAGGAGAACTCTCCGTTTTTCTTTTTTGCTAGGGTTTTGTTTGATATGCGTTTGTAATTAGAGAATTCAACAAGATAATCCCCAAAAGGTAAAGTATTTTTACAAACAAATGATGGTTGTCCTTATAACAATGAAATTGCAGTATGAATATTGTATTATATAATAACTCAAAATGAGGCTGAAATTCCATTGAGTGTTTTGGTTAAAAACTGAGTCAGACACAAATAGGATGAGAATATAAAATTATATGATAATGTGAAGTGGATTTTAGTATTGATTTATTATTTAACCCTTAGACAAGGAAAACTCCAATAACTTTTTTTTTTCCTTTTGTTGCATTAATTAATCTATTTAACACAAACCCATTTCGACATCAATTAAAACTTGTACCACTTCAACACTTGTTTCCTGTTTTTGAAGCCATGCTGGCAACAAGAGGAAAAGAGACAAAGAAAACAGCAATTCTCAAAACCCTTTTTCGTCATGTTATTTTTTTTCTATCTTTTATTCTCGAAAAAATTTTCAAGAACTTTCTCATTAATTGTGATTAAAATTGTTCCTGTTGAATGCCCTGTTGAAAAAAGCGTAAAAGGGACAAGAAAAAATTAGCAGGGAATTGCAAATTATACGGAGACCTCTCTTCTCCCTTCTATTTTTAAAAAAAGAAAGCATCTACATTGACTTGTCTGTTCTACGCTACAAAAATTGTCTTATGTGATTAGGGACTAATTTTGAATTCTCTCATGATCTTAGTCAAGCGAGAAGTGACTCAATAAAAGTATCTTTCTCCGCATGGAATTTGTCAAACCGCCCATTGGGATGATCAAAAAACCATATTCCTCTTCTGCTTTACTTTAGCAAGTCTTGAAATGAAGGCTCACTTAGGATTAGTGATATTTGGGGACCAAATATCGCTTACTTCGTTCTGTCTCCCATTGTAAACTGCTAAGAACCTTTTGGCACGATTATTCGGAGAGCTTGAGGATTGATTTACTTTGTAGGACCGGCGAGTAATTTGTTTTAGCAAGAACAGAAGACAGTATTCTTAACAGCCATTGGTCGGTGGAAAAGAAGCAAGAGAAAAAAGAAGACTGTTTTCTTTTGTATAGTGAATACTAAATTGTAATTCTTGTGAATATGCTGATATAGCTTGTTTGACTTTTTGGCCTTCAATATAATAGACATATATAGATAAGTATTGTGATATAGGACAATTCTCCTAACATATAGAGAAGTGGCCTGTTAAGAAATTCTGTCTTGCTTCCGGTTCTTGCCTTCTAATTAATTTGTTTTTATCAGTTCAAGTGTATTTCATAACTTTTCCATATTTTTGTTCTAGCTGTTAGAAATGCCATAGAATTACCCCACAGCCACCACCAAGTTATAAGCCAAAATTGCATATAGCACAAAAGATTTTGAAATAGATCTCTTAATGCCCCCATATACACGCTGGACTTGACCCTTGATTTTAAGAGGCACGCTTGAGACAATTGGTCGAGTTATTATATATATTAAGAACAGAAGGATCCAATCCATTACATCTGCTTTAATTTAGTCTGGTCAGTTGGCTATCGAATTAGTCTATCAGAATCTTACCAGACAATATGAAGCTATATTTGAATTTTCTGGCGCTCCCCTAGTTGAGTAGTTAGAAGACAACACCAGTGTGATACCGCAATTAAGCTACGACCCTAATAGGCATGAACAAGCAATTAGTTTCAAGCTAACACTCATCTATCATATTCTACCAACTAGGCCTTATTTTTCCCACAAACACAACTTCTAAAATTACCTATATCCAAAAAAACTAAACCGCTAAAAAAAACGACAAAAATCAAGTTACTTTTTGCTATCTATTTCTCAAGAAATACAATGGGCAGTTCATTACCTGGTCTTCTTCCTAAGAAAACTTTTTCTTCCAAGTTTCTGGTAAATCATCCTCTTTAGATGTTCCAACGCAGTAGTTTTATGTTTGGAGAAGCACAATAGGCAAGAGCATTATTCTGGTATTCCCTTCTATCACTACTTGAATATCCTTTCATTTCTCAAAGATTTGCTTAGCATAGCTAGCAGGAAGTGTTTCGGTCTTGATCATCCAGTGGGGTGGTTTGACAATTCCCTGCACAAACAAGATACTTTTGATGCTGTCATTTCTTAATTTGAGTACATTTGTTATGACATGGTACTCAAAGCGTAACTACAAAGTAGCAATTTGCATCTCACGGCAGGCACTGATCAATTCAATGTAAATATGAATTTGTAAAAGGGATTTAACAATCTTTGTGTAATTTGAGGAAAAAAATTATTTGCTACAAAATTTTTCCGCTTTTCTTTTGCATAGACAAATTTCTTTTAAGGGGACAGAGAAGACGAAAAAGAAATGTTAAGATTACAAAAAATCCCATTTAAATTCCGTTGGTTCTTCCAATCAGTTTTCATTTGAAGAGGGAACTTTTCAAGATTAATTGTGCGTTATTCACTTGCAAAAAGTAAATTATTGAAAAGGCCAATCCTGTTTCATGAGGAAACTTCAAGTAGCATGCAAAGCATTTTCTTCATAGTATGCCATCAGGTTCTTAGTGGATTTATCAGTCTAAACATTCAACTGCATTTTAGTTGTTTACTTAAAACTAAAATTAATTTTCATTTGCTTTCCTATTTCCCTAAACCATCTCTCTCTTT